TGGATGATATCCACCATCAAGTGCGTTCAAATTTGAAAACGTCTGCTGATTCGATGAAGTTAACTTATGATAAGAGATCTACTGAAGTCTGCTTTGTACCCGGAGACAAGGTATGGTTGTATAATCCCAGGAAGACCCAAGGGAAGTCTCCTAAGTTGTCTTCTTCATGGGAAGGCCCATATGACATAGTGGATCGTCTCTCAGACGTGACTTTCCGGGTAAAATGTGGTCGGCCAGGTTAGCCAAAAGTGGCGTATGCCAACAGGCTTTGGCGTTATCACGGTCCAGGACATTTCAGTTGGGATGAAGTGGACAACAGAACAAATGACGCTGCTGAAGACGTGCCACCTGAAGAAGCCACCGTCGAAGAAGAAACTCTACTCAGTGATGAGAAGGGAAACGGTGAAGCTTTTGGTGAAGTTACTTCCACTGATGTGACTATTACCGATAATAGGACATTTACTGATGAAGCAGATGAATCCCACATGAAGCAGAAGCCAACGAGACGGAGACCAGTACAGAAGAAGATACGTCCCGTAAAATTAAGAGACTTTGTTGAATTGTAATTTTGTGTTTGTAATTCTGTACAGTTAATTAAGTTATTGTTAATTGTTATTGGTTTACTGTATGTGGTTATTGTTCGGGACGAACAATATTAAGGAGGGGGCAGTGTTGCATCAGCGAGATCACGTGACTATTCTCACGCCCTCTGCTTTCTAGAACTATCCTGTACCTTGGCGAATGCTTTAGCATTTACTAGATATAGGGTAGTCTGGTATATAAAAGAGGGTGACAACGTGACAGAAGAATGTGTGTGTAGACAGTGAGTAATTGATCTGCAGTCAGCGAGTATTATTGAAGTTGAGCACGTTCGTTGTTATAGCGTCTGTTTTAGTGCGATTGTTGAAATTAAGTGTATCGTAAAGTTATATTCGGAAAGAATAAACCAGTTTTATTAAGTAAGGACTTGTGTCGCTAAAGTTTCGTCGGAACGAATTTACCGGAAATCAATTAACAAACGGAGACGTAACAGTATATTGGAATTTTAGAAACTTTATGTACTATAGAACCATGTTCTTTTAGTGTTGATGTTATTTGTTCCTTTTTAATGTTGGATATTCTTCTGTTGTGATGAACTATAAAACCATGTTCTTTTAGTGTTGATGTTATTTGTTCCTTTGTAATGTTGGAAATTGTTCTGTTGTGTTAAACTATAAAACCATGTTCTTTTAGTTTTGGTGTTACTTGTTCCTTTTTAATGTTGGAAATTCTTCTGCTGTGTTAAACTATAAAACCATGTTCTTTTAGTGTTGATGTTATTTGTTCTTTTTAAATGTTCGACATTCTTCTGTTGTGTTGAACTATAAAACCATGTTCTTTTAGTGTTAATGTTATTTGTTCCTTTCTAATGTTAGACATTCTTCTGTTGTGCTGAAATGTTAAATGACCATTTATTGATTTGAACTTCATTAAGGACTTATGATGAACATTTCTTAAAAACAAAAGAAAGAGTATGGAGGAATTTGTTAACTATATAGCCATCATGATATTTGGAGTACTTCCCCTCCCCCCACTGTCTTTTGAGCATGCAACAAGAGATTTTAACAGTTAGTGTGTCCTCTGAAATCCATCATTACAGTGAGTTTTGTTGTGTGTAAATGAATTAAAATGTATTGTGCATTGACCCAAGTTGGGAGTAATATATGATATAGTGGTTAGAATATCTTTTGTGTGTAAGAAAACTTGACTGTTTTTTTAGGCAAAGTAATAAAATAACTTCTCATCCTTTTCAGTGTAAACTAACTTGATATTAGGTTTTAGTTTTCAGATGAATAAAATTTACTTAAAGACACTTAGACAAGTTTGCTTGAGAATGTAAACTAACTGGTAAATTAGCAGTTAAAAAAATTGGATTACATTCAGTTTCAATGTACAATAGCTTGGATACTTCCAATTTTTAACTTTATAGATTTTTAAAATAACTTTTTTATTAAAGAATATATTTTCTCTAGTATTAAGGATAACTGTTTCATTGCTTATAGTAATATCCAGTTATGGGCAACTATCTTATTGCTCAGAGTTGATATCTAGTTATGGTCAAGTATCTTTCTGCTTAGAGTCGATATCTAGTTATGGACAAATTTAATTTAGAGAATATTAATATTAACATATTTAACTCAGTGCCCATATAGTCAACAAGTTTTCAACATATATTTTGTAATATATATAACTAGTGAAAATATTGCTTTTACTTCTACCTGTTTTATTGTATGCTTCAAGACATGTTGAAATATTGAAAATATATCTTAAACTATATTACATATATCAAAAACATATGGTTATCTATACATTTATATATACTGAGCTCAAACAATTTTATGAAACCTATAATTTATCTAACATCAGTGCTTGAAAGGAGGGAAAAGAAGAAGTGGGATGGTTTGTGAAACTTTTGAAGCTAAGTGCTATATTTCTTGTTTTTCATGTGTATTCTTTATTTATTATTATAAAAGTAACTAAAATGTAAAAATTAAAAAATATTAGGTTAGATTAGGTAAAATAAAAAATAATAATAATATAAATTCTTCACAAGGTGTACTCGCAAGCAGCTTGTGCATTACGCAATTCAATACAATAACGTGACCTACATGTTCACTGCGAGGTTTACAACTTGTGTGGCAGGATTTTTAGCTAAGACACTGTTCAAAGGGCAATAAAATTAAATATAAACAGATGTATACTGTTCTGAGTTATAGTAAGGAAACACACTGATGGTTACTTTGTGGTTTCAAACTCTGTCACACTGATTGAGCCTGTAACAAGAGGGTTCATTTGCTCAATTCATGTACTACTTTGTCTCATTATTACCCCACTCTTACACGACATTTTAAGAAAATCATAATAATTTCTCTCCCTAGTCCCTTGTGGCCTTAACTATTTATTGCATCATTTATTGAATCTTTCCCATCTGAGGTGGCGGGATGGTTTCGGCCCCTCCTGAAAAGAAATGGGATAGCATCCCACCCCATTTCAAGCACTGTCTAAGATCAATATCACAGATTTATAATAATATATATACACATCTATAGAAATATAAAATCACATTATATCCTAATTTTATAATACTCTACATTAGCTTATATGCCTTTACTTAGGAAATGTGTAGTAATTTACATACAACATTGGTCATTATTGCTAACCTAGAACTGAGTGGTAATAGCCCAGCATCAATCTGTTTTGTCCAGCAACGGTTATCTGGATCAAATCCACAATAGCTGATGTTCAGCAAAGGGTAATGACGTCGGAAAAACAACCTGTATGTAGATTAGAAAGAATACATTTTATAACCTAATAACTTTTTCAGAATCTCCAATATTTATTGTAGTGTTACGAGTACATTTTATGATCACCTGATATTCAATGCTTTATTCATTTCTTCAATGGATTTATGACATCCATTCAATGGGTGGCAAGGGTTCTTAGCACCTGGGGGCAAAGACACTTTTGGCGCCCCCACACCTCTGAAATGTTTTGATTATTTGTTTTGTGACTCATTACCCACTTAATGACAATAGCATAAAGAATTAATTACCGCCTTACACAGGCCTAAAATAAAGTCACAATATAACATCTCACGATATCACAACCGTAAACCTGGAACTAATAAAGTATAGCCT